GGGGGGGAACTGTGAAGGGTTATGGGGAAGAAGGGAAATTAGAGAGGTGTTTGGGGGGAGTGTTGTACTAGCGTTTCTGTATACTGATTTTCCATCTGATTATCTTTTTTTTTCTTCTTCATGTATGTACCACATCTGCGAAGTTGTTTTTTTGTTCACATGTAAAGCATGGTAGGGGATTAGAGCAACATCACATCAAGTAAGATTCATGCACAATGTTGAATACCCAAGTGCACAGTATAATATATTTCTATCCTTCCAATACCCTATCCATCCATATCCCAATCCTTCGTATAACCATATCTCACTCTCATTTCTTCTCGTTTTCGTCGTTTTCGTTTCTAGTCATATATGTTCATACACCAAGACACACGCACAAAAATCTATAGACATGCAAGGAGATCGAGTTGAACCCAAGCAAAAAAAAAGAAGGTGAGAAGTGTAAAATAGAAAGAAATACAAAAGAAAAACGCCGTACCTAATGCCGCTGTGTGCATGACAATGCCAAACAAAGACGCTAAGTATATGTAATAGCAAAGAGGGAGCGCGGATACAGCAATAGAAAAGAAGAGGTTGCTTCCCCGAGAGAAAAAAAAAAGCAACAGGTACAGTAAGTAGCAGCAATCTGACTAAGAAAAAAAATAAGCATTGTAAACAAGGTACGATGCGATGATGCAGCAGTGTCTAAAGAGGCAAAAGAAACGGAGTGCACCACCCACTTCTCACACACTTGTGTCTCTCCACTCAGCTCACATGACCTAGTCGTCATTATCACGCGACATGCCAGCCTGGCTTCCCTCAAAGTTCCTGACCTTTTGCGCATGATTGAAGCTAATCATGCTGCGCATCGGGTTCTTGCGTGCAGCACTGACCATGCTGGGGGAAGGAGGATGTCTGGAAGCACGCACACTGCCGGTTCCGTACTGGACCTCGTCGAACAAGTGGTCGTACTGACCTTGGGTGAGGCTATCCTTGCGAGACTTGCCGGATGAGGATGACGGTGTTTTGAGGGGGCGTACGGTAGAGACCTCGCTGGGTTCGGATGCGTGAGCAGCTTTGGACTTGGAGGACCGGGAGGAGCGGTGGGGACGTAGAGATTCATCGTCTTCAGCCGAGTCGGGGGTCCTGTGGGAACGAGAGCGATGAGAGCGCCTGGACGATTTGCTGATCGTAGACTCGTCGTCATCAGCATGCTTTTTGCTGCGGTGGGTGGTCGAAGACTCGGCATTCTCGGTGTGCTTCCTGCTGCGGCGGCTGACAGAGGTTTCGGCATCGTCATTCTCCTTGCTCTTGTGACGGTGGGATCGGTGTCTGCGGCGTGGACCATCGCCAATCTGCGAGATGCTGTCACTGGGCACCACAGTGTCGAGATCGTCTTCAGTCATGTCGTCAAAGTCGAAATCATCAATAAAGTCCTCGTCCTCTTCTTCTACCACCTCTTGGGTCTTGGCCTTGTCACGTTTGAAGAGGTTGCTAACAATCGAGGCGGCCTTGGATGGAACCTTGGGAGGCACCTTGGATTCAGCTGGTGGAGGGGAAGCCTCATGCTCCCTACGACTGCTACCATGCTTGCTATGCGACGACTTTGCTTTTGATCTGCTCGTGTGATGCGAACGAACACTACCCGTGGCGCTCTGCATATCCTCATCATCGGCGATAAAGGACGAGATGAAGGAGCTAGCCGCAGCACTTGGAGCTGCGCTGTATGCCTTGGAGACGACACTGTGAGACTTGTGTGGTCGCGGTGGCTTCAAAGACGAAGATGTGGGCTCAGGCCTGGCTGCCGACACTGTGCTCCTTGCCTGCTCCCTTGCCTGCTCCCTTGCCTGCTCAAGCATCAACAAGTCAGGGCTAGTGCTGGCACGGTCAGATGCTCTAAGCCTTGAGGGAGCGGCTGAAGGTGCACGAGAGTAGGCCGGCGCATACTCAATCTCAAGCGGCTTTGCATACTCGAGGGCGCGAGCCTGAGCAAGGGCACTTGGGGCACCAAACTGGGAAGGCGAGTAGTAGTCGGCGGGGGCAGCCTCGATTTGGCGAGGGACCGATGACCTTGGAATCTGAGAGGCGCGTGAATAGGTAGACCGCGCGTCGTCGTTGTCATCGTTGTTGCGGTGTACTGATGGAGCAGGTTTTGGCGGAGCGGTCGTCTCAGGTGCGGGCTGTGCGGGCTGCGCTGGCTGAGCTGGCGGTTCGGGTTGTGGGGTTTGCTGGGGTGGTTCAGGCTGCGCCGGGGTCTGAGCGAAAAGAGTTGCCGCCGTCTTGACCGCGCTTTTGGCATCAAGGAAAGCGTTGAATTCGGCTTCTTTCTTTGCGCTATCACGTTCGCTCCGGGCGAATGCATAGGCAACAGCAGCTCCTGCAGCAGCTCCAAGAAGTGCGCCAAAGAGTTGCTTGCCGGCACCTTCACCGGACTCGGATTTGGTGGCCTGCTGCTGAGGGGGTGAAGACATGACGTCGTTTGCAGAGAAGCTTCGGACTACAGTGGGCTTTGCAACAGGAGGTTCGGCCTGTGGTGGTGGTGGTGGTGCAGCAGCAGTAGCAGCAGCAGCAGCAGTAGTCGTCTGTGCGGTCTTGGAGGCAGACGTGTAGCTGTTGCTGGTAGAGAGGCTTTCGCGATAGGAAGTGGAAGTGGAGGTGGTGGTAGTAGTGGTGACTGTTCTTGACCACGTGATGATTCTGCTGTGCTGGTAAACAGTGCCGTCTTCTCCAATGTCAGGACCGTTGCGGTAGACGGCCTCGATGCTGTTTCCGTCAAAGTCTAATACTGCAGCGTTGAAGTGGCCTGTCTCAGCGCATCGAGTGGCTGGGCTTCCGTTGGGGCGACCGCCAGCTTTCAATGCCGCGGTGTAGAAGTTGCGGACCGCGGTTGTGCTGGGAGCGGTGAAGGCAATGTGTGCGGCACCAGCCTTTACGCTACTCAGGAGTTAGTTGCGGTGTACTGGGACATGGGCTGATGAATTGTGGTTCGTACCCAGGCGTTTCTTGGCAGAGGAAGAAGTCGGCATTGTGAATACCTAGGCCAATCTGGTGGCCAGACTCTCCAATGTAGCGGTAGCCCAGGGGCTGGAGTGCGGAGAGAAAGAAGGATGTCGAGGTTGGAAGATGGGCGACTGTGATACCTATGTGGGCGACGGGCATTGCTGGGGGAAGTTGTGGGGATGCGAGTATGTTGTGTACACCGTGGGATGTAGAGGAGTGAGGGTGATGGAGAAGGTGGGGGTGGGGGTTGGGGTTGAATGCAAATGTCAATGTTTTGTTTTGGGGTGATGGCAAGGCAAGTCGAGCATCTGTACCGGGTCGTGGTACGAGGTGGAGGTTTATATCACAAGTGACGCGGTGCAGGAGCCGTGTGTGGATGCGTGGTGGAGGGAGTATAGCACAGCGTCCGGGTCCGGTTGGCTGGTCGTGCGGAAAAGGCAGTGAGTGGTACAGGGCACGCACAGCTGCAGGCGGGAATCAGGGAGGCCGCTGTCAACAAGTTGAGATGCTGCCACATGTCCTGCGTCTGCAGGCTAACAAATTTGTAAAGGTAAGCGATGCAGCAGTGGCCGGTATTGGCTGCTGACCGCCGGCCCGCAACCGCGAGTGGTTTAGGATGGCCGTACGCTTCACTACGCCCATGACGCTGCGCTGCAAAGGCCTCTCTTGCTCTCTTAGTCGCTTGTCGCGTGCGGTCTGGACACAAGACCGCTCGCCGCACTGGGCGCTATTTGCTATGGCCTGACGTCGTAGGAGACGAAACGGGGCGGGCGCTGCTGTGTACACCCACGTCCAAGGCCCAGAACGGCAGCCCTGGTGAGGCGGTCACGGGGTGGCTGGTGGCGGTCGCTGGCAGAGGTCGCGTCAAGCTGCCGTGTGCGTGTAGTACGAGTGCACATACAGTACAGTGGTTGCTTTTGGCCATGTTCGCTGAGCATCGTGGGAGATCGGCGATGCGGCTCCCGGCCTCTCCTCACCCAGCCCGTCACTCTCCCGCCGCATGCGCGCCGACGAGCCCTCCCATGCCGCCCGCGCTAGCCCCCAAACAGGCCTAGCGCTCCAGACATGTCATCGAGGGGTCAACGGCTCTCAGTGCGAACATGACGTGAAGACGTCGACTTTTCTTTTCATTCGCCAGCAGCTACATTGCTGACACTCCTGATCATCGTGCTCGCCATGCCCATCGCCGTCTATCTATGCGACACACGTACACGTCCCCGTCACCGTCCCCGTCCCTGACAAAAGGAGCCGCCATCACCTCCACCCAACTAATAAACTATCCACCCACCCACCCATAAAAGTAGAGCCCAATATCCAGCCACACCACACATAAGCCCATTGCCAGCACACCACTCGGCCGACTGCGCCACACTAGACGTAAACAAACAAAAAAGTAAAAAAACCAAAGAAAAACACGAGGTGCGGCGCAGGTTGAGCTGCCCAGCCGTCTTCCCAAGAAGACTGATGTTTGTGCGTTGAGCCAGAGTAGTTGTTTTGTTGTAAAAGAACCTCAGGCACCCGCCCAAAATCACATGCAGCAAGCGTCGCGGCTGTCGATGTTGTAATCTAAGCCCCGAACTGCTCCTGCCCCGTATCACTTTTCCTAGTCCTGCGGTAGTCCGGTCTCCAATCCGACTCGTCGACTGGTTTTTTTTTCTTTGCTGCATATGGGCATGTTGGCGTGTTGGCCATGGATACGTCCCCTTTCTTCGGCTGGCCACTCATCTAGAAGATATTCCACACATCCTCGGCCGCATGACAGAACTTACTGCACGCAACGCTGGCACTGAGGTTGAACTGACTAATCGCAATGCTGTCGTCCTTGATATCGTCGGCAAAGTCGTCGTTGCCCTTGGCCATGGCACCAACAAACACGGCAATGCTCTCGCCCTTGTTGAGGCTTCCAATGTAGTCGCTTACTCGCACCACCTCCGAGTCAAAGCTAAGAGTTACCTTTCGGCAGTTTGGTGGTAGGTGGTCTGTAATGGGGTTCTTGATCACCTCAATGAGCTTCTCTTGCGATGTAGTCGACCGGATCTGATGTCTGTGTAGTAGCTGCACCATAAGACCGGCAAATCGCTTAAACGTACGCGGAATGCGCACGGTAGGGCTGACCCGGATGAGCACGTTCTTGGATGTGTGGATGTAGATCTGAAGCCTGCCCGCCTTGTTGATTGGCGAGTCAAGCAGGGTGAGGAGACACTGCGTCGCCACGTTAGCTGATTAGAACCAGTAGCCTCCTCTTGTACGCACTTGGTGTGTTATGTCTGGTCGAGCCTCGCTGATGTCGCGCCCCATTTTCCGCATTACGCCAATGTGGTCGTCACTGTTGAGCAGGTTGTATTTGTCCTCGCGCGCACCGGGGCCTCGGCCATTTCCGTGTGACGCCTTGTACGTCTCGAGCGTGGCGCTGCAGAGCACGACAATCAGCCGCTGTGTGTCCTTGTCGTTGGTGGGGATGGGAGCATGTTGCTCTGCCACCAGTCTCGGCAGCTCTGGGGGAGGCATCGATTGTGTTCCTGCAGGTAGTACGGCAATATTAGCCTTGTCCTTGGTCAACAAGTAGCAGGAGCAGCATGAGGAAGAGGGGCAAGAGCAGTCAGGGAGCAAGCTGTCGACATACTTGCGCGCTTCTTTGCCCGGTCGGGTGAGCCACGCGAGGAAGGTCTTTCGGCTGGCGATTTGGGGCTTTCGATCTTCATGGGAGCCATGTTGAATTTATATGCTGAAACAAGCAAGTTCTGCTGCTGTGGGCGTGTATTACTGGTGGTGGTGGTGGTGGTGGTGGCGGCGGAGTAACTGTAGGAATGCGCCAACGCGGTCAGGTAGAAAAATGGGTCCTTTTGTCGAGGTATCTACAAGTCAGCAAACGGGAAAGCGATTACACAGACCAAGTTGTTTGTCTTATACACATGTGCGAAAGCAGATGAGATGGAGATAGAGTTCACATAACCACGCGTTCTTTTTGAGCAGGCTGTTGGTGAGGAGAACCTTTTCTCTCGCTCGGCGAATCATAGCCGAGCTGAGCCGGCGCTTACGTTGGGAGTTTTTACTAAGCCCGTACCGTGCTAGAAGCAGCAAAACTGCTCGCATTACCTGTCTCTTCGGTGACACCAATACTACACAACCATACTATTCGGCTGCTTTTTAATGGACTTCGCTGAATTTCCCTGGACTTGATGGTCCTCGACCGGACTTTGGATGGACCACAGTGGCTTTGCTGTAGCCCACATCATCTATCCACAATTCTCCGAGGCAACCGAGTACTACTGTATTACCCGACTCGGAGTTTGGTTTCCCTTTTATCCTACCAATCACACGCATCGCCGGCGACCTCTCCGCTGGGCAGACTGTAGGCCTAAGGCGAGCCGTCATTCCTGCCCTGGGGACGTTCGGGCCAAAACTGGCAGGTAAAGCAGGTTGGGTTTAGAGCAAGAGCATACTTACTATCGGTAGCAACCGACGAGGTGCGGGAAACTCGGACTTGATGGAATCCACAGGCATGGGCCTTGGACGCAGAAGCCCTGCTGTGGGCCGGCTCGCAGCAATCATGCTTGGGCTGGGCATTGCAAGCTTCTGCAACGAGAGCGTCTCACCATGGTCTCTTGGCCCGCCTTGAATTTGAAACATCCGCCATATCGCACAATCGCCTCACGTTGGACATGTCGCCATACGCAACGCGTATGGCTTCTGAGGTAAACATCATGCGAGCGGCCAAGAGTTCCAAGAGGTCAGCTCATGGGCGAAACGACGTGGGTTTGGCCGATGCGCCGTTGCCTTGTGCCTGTCAGTGGAAATACATGAACGCTAGCTGTCGCACTCTCGCGATACTATCTCGCAGCTGTCCACCAAACATCACGTTCACTTACTTTTGATTCTTCACCACATCGCCAGCGATATCTTTTTATTTCATTCTCTTCACTGGCAGCCGGCTGTCCATCGTCCCCAATTGCAATCACGAGCCTTGCCGTTGTCCCTGCAAACCCCAACATCATCAGCCTAGGCCAAATCTGTCCGACACCAACAAAAAGTCCCCGACAAATACAACTGCCAACATGAGTTTCTCGTGGCTCGCACCAATCCTCACACCCGCTGCGCTACGTTCAGTAGAAGCAGACGGCCGACCAGTCATTACACTGTTCCTGGTCATTTTCGGCCTCTCGGTTCTCGGCGCGGTTATCTGGTATGTCCACTTTGTGACATCCAAAATGTACCCGAAGAAGAAGGATGCGAAGAAGGGAAAGATGCTCGGCTTTATCAAGCGGTAGAGCGGGCAAAGCAATCAGGCAACAAAAAAGAAGAAGAAAAAGAAGGGTCCGGTCCAAGCATCCCAAGCATCGCTCTGATCGATCCTCCCCACAAGTACATTTGTCATCCTCGTGGCTGCAGGGTCCTACGGCTACTACAGCGATTTTCCATTTTCAAATACCCCCCGTCCTGGAGTGTCAACACGCGCATATCTCTCCGTCGAGTCTTTTCTTTTTCAGCAGACATGACCTCCGTCATCATCTCCGACCACTTTTCTCCGGCGCGACAAAATATCTTCCGACTGGCACATAAAAGATCCATGCTTTTGTCAAATCGATTTGGATGCAGACAGTCAAACAGGCATAAAGACTTACTTTGTACTTTGTGGTAAAACGTCTTGTGATACTTTCAATATAATACATATTTTTTTTTCATCTTATCGAGCATGTCTTATTACTAGTTTGAATGTGTGAAGGTGAATTATGTCGGTGACCTTGCTTACCTCCAACTTTACGTTCAGTCCCAAAACCAAGCAAATAATATCACACTCAATCATGGTCTCTGCATCGTCCCCCCTCTACAACCCAAACACCCCCATCACCGCCGGCGCTTCGCGAAGGCATCAGCGCAGACTTGGCGTCACAGTTAGCGCAGCGATGGGGGAGCAAAGCAAACGCCAATTGCCCGTTTATATCCAGTCAAACCATATCCAACCGCTGATGACATTCCTGACAGGTTACACTTGTATACATATTGGGGGCTGGGAAGCGAGTCACTGCACGACATGAAAGAAAAAAAAGTGGGTGTGTGTAAGATTGGCTTGGGGTACAAACGGTGGCGTATCAACAGGGCTGTCCAAGTCCGATCTCAAAGCACCATAAATGCACACCTATGGAAATTGTAGCTGCCGGGGAGAGCATGGAAGGGTTGGGTATGGTATTTCACGTTTAGTAGTGCTGGCCGGGCTATCCAAAAAAAATATTTCGTATTGTAGTGAATAACAGCACAATCAATACCTAACCCCCGCTTCACTTCAAATCTTGACCAGCCCACCATCTACGCAAGTCAAACCCCTTCTTTACAGGAGCACACCCCGTAGTGCCAGAACAGGGTGTAAACACAATCATCCCATGGGCGCACGACCGCCGTTTCGCCAACCCCGTTCGCTCGCCACACGCATACACACACGGCAGGTCCGCCAAAGCCAAAAGCCCCAACGCACCTCGAAGGAGCATACGCGCAGTTTTCTAGCGCGGCAGATGGTTGCAACGGCATGCCGTCAATGCCGTTTTTTTTTGCGCTCCCCTTACCTCACACCCCCCTGGTTCGAGTCGGAAGAAAGCTGGGAAAGACGGATGGGCAATCGGCGAATAGGGCGGAAATGTTGCAGAGACTGTGTGGCAGGGCGGGCTGTGGCTAGTAAGGGCGCAAAAGTGGAGAGTTTCGGGAGCTACTATTTCCGCAAGTGGGTGGTTTCTTCATGCTGATGGGATAGGGAGAGGGAGAGAGACCTGTCAGTGTTTTGGAGCGTGCGTGGCTTCGTTGTTCTCTTCAATGCTCTATGGGTGCTAGAGAGGGGGAGGAGGGGGAGGGGTCCATGGTGGTACTGGTGGGAGGAGAGTGTTTGGGGGGGTTGTTCCAAGACTGGGAATGTTTGGGTGGAGAAGAGAGGGATATGGACTGGTGGTCGGATATAGTTGCTTGTAAATTGTTGAAGGTGAAGGTATGACCGGAGTACAGCCGGTGAAACATGCAAAACATAGCGGATCGGCGTGCAGGAAGTCGGGTTTGGTGGTGGTGGTGATGCTCGTTGTGCTGGGTGTGGGCCGTTGCAAGACGTGGGGGTGTATGTAATGGTGTACAGTACTATACGCCCGCTTGAACAAGTCTATGCCAACCAACACGTACTTGCCGCACGTATCGTCGACTCAGTATATGGTAAGTTGGGCCGAGGCTAGATTATGGAGTCGAGACGATTAATCCCCGCTGTAAGATGCAGATGGTGTTAGTAGTAGGTGGCCTGGGGCAGCCGCCCGCGATACAATGCCTCAGCCAAGGCATCCATCTCTCGACATGGGCTGTCACTTGCAGGCCAAGTCGAACCATTCTCATGGCCCTCGAAAAGCTTGTGTTCTCGTATACATGGACAGTTGCACAATACAACGGACAGGACATTCGGGCCAGAAGCGTCGGAGCTGATGGGAGTCCAAGGGCTGGTGGTTATGCGTCGGCAGTTGGGGCTTGTCCGCTTGGCCGATCCAGGGGCGCCACATCGAGCCGCCAGGCTCTAACGCTGTGTGTTTTAGCTGGTGGCCCCCAAACGCCTCTCAAACGTCCCCCCTTCAGCCTTTTCCCATGCCAAAGACGAAGATTCATGGCCGCCTGGGTTTCAGACGTCGAATCCGTCCATAGTCGCCCTCCAATTGGCTAGTCTGCCCGTTCGCGACGCCTGCGATATGCCAGCACCGTGCTGCGTCGCAACAGAGACCATTCAAAGTGGTTCGACTTCTGCTACCGTTTCGCCTTGTTGGTGGTCCCAAAGGGCCCTGCGAATCCCCATTCATTCCCACCCTCTGACTAACTGAGACCCCATTACCCACTTGCTGCTGCCTCTGTCGACATGACCTGACCTACCCTATCCCCGTCGTTGCCGCTTTGTCCCTCTTTTTGCTACCAGCCGCCATCATTGCTGGCTTATAGACTTTTGTTTCCCCGACTCGCCCCTAGACTCACCCGACTTCATGCCGGTTCTTCCTTAGCCGCGTCATCCAACGCCTCTTTGCGACCTCTCTTCTCTTCTTTTCGTGCGGGCACTTTTTAGTACGTAGGCGTGTTGTTCGTTGTTGTTGTCTTTGTCTTTGTCGTTGTTGCTGGCTGGACCTCTCCAAGACTAATGATATGCGCATTACAGATTACTTAGACACTCTTTGAATTTACAAATTCTCCAACTCGGCCACATTCAGCAGGTCTGAAGCCCATCGGCATCCACCGACAGGCGCTCTACGGTTACTGCACTCTCGCTCCACATAGTAGTCATGTCCTTCACTACCAGTCTAACCGGCCGCGAGCGGTCAAGATGGCCGCCGCTTACTCGCATGCTCATGTCTGGCGAGATGTCAGAGGAAAGGGCGCGAGAGTTGACACGGAAAGAAAAGTTTGACGTCTGGATGGTCAACGAGGGTTACCGAAGATTGTGAGCCCGACTCTGCAACCCGATTGGAGAACTTGACTAATAACCATCAGCTTCGTCTTTACTTTTGCCATTCTCCACGTCATGGTCTTCGTCTTTGGTATGATGAACTACGGACTAAAGGTAGGCATTCCTGTTCTGTACTTCTTCAAACCGCGCTCACACAACAACCTAGGACAATGTCATCGCAGTGAGACAAACCTTTGGTCTAACCTACCCCATCGCTCGTTCAGCAGCTCTGGTGCTCCACGTCGACGTCGCTTTTATCCTGTTTCCAGTATGCAGGAACCTAATTTCCATGGCTCGTCGTACCCCTCTAAACGACGTAATCCCCTTTGACAAGAACATCACCTTCCACAAGCTTGTCGCTTGGTCCATCGTCTTCTTCTCCTGGGTTCACACCATTGCCCATTGGAACAATCTTGCCCGCTTCTCGGCCGTCAACAACCTCGGGTTCATGGGTTTCATCCTCGCCAACCTTGCTACTGGTCCCGGTTGGAGTGGTTATGTCATGTTGCTCTGTTTGATGGCGATTGCGCTCACGGCAGCGGAAAAGGCTCGTCGCGCAAACTTTGAGCGTTTCTGGTACATGCACCACCTCTTCATCGTCTTCTTCATCTTCTGGTCCATTCACGGAGCCTTTTGCATGATTCAGCCCGACTTTGCGCCTTTCTGTGACGGTATCGGTGTCTTCTGGGAGTACTGGATGTACGGTGGATTTGCGTACCTCGCTGAGCGTATCGCACGTGAGGTCAGGGGACGACACAAGACGTATATTTCCAAGGTCATTCAGCACCCTAGCAACGTTTGCGAGGTCCAGATCAAGAAGGAGCACACCACGACCCGTGCTGGACAGTACATCTTCTTGTGCTGCCCTGAAATCTCCATCTGGCAATACCACCCCTTCACGCTTACCAGCGCACCCGAGGAAGACTACATCTCTGTTCACATCCGTATGGTCGGTAACTTCACCAAAGCATTCGGACAGGCCCTGGGCTGCAGCACAGAGAAGAAGCCCGCCGGTGAAAAGGGTGAAAAGGGCGTCTCAAGCGAGGAGATTGCTCTGCGCCAGATTCTCCCCCGTGTCTACATTGACGGACCTTTTGGTTCCGCCTCCGAAGACGTGTTCAAGTTTGAAGTCGCCGTCCTCTGTGGTGCTGGTATCGGTGTCACACCCTTCGCCTCTATTCTCAAGAGTATCTGGTACCGCATGAACTACCCCCAGGGCTCACGCACGCGTCTCCGAAAAGTCTACTTCTTCTGGATTTGCAGAGATTTCGGTTCGTTCGAGTGGTTCCGATCGTTGCTTCTGGCTATCGAGGCTCAAGATGTTGATGACCACATTGAGATTCACACCGTAAGTTTTAATCACAAATTCACAAGCTATTCAAAGATACTAATGAATATCCTAGTACCTCACCGCAAAGATCAAGGCAGACGACGCAACCAACATCATGATCAACGACGCAAACGCCGAACAAGACGCCATCACCGGTCTCCGCGCCCCTACAAACTTCGGTCGTCCAAACTGGGACATGATCTTCAAGTCTATCCGCAAAATCCATTCTCCCGCTGAGGCCGGTGTCTTCTTCTGTGGTCCCAAGGGTCTCGGTTCAACCCTCCACGTCAAATGCAACATGTACTCCGAGCCTGGCTTCAGTTTCGTATGGGGCAAAGAGAACTTCTAAGTCTCGTGTTGTGTACCGCTCTGGGATAGAAGAGTGTGTGTGTTGGAAGGGAGGAAGAGGCAAAAGAGCTAAAGTGGATTCGAGATACCATAACACCATTTTTGATTTCCTTTTTTTATTTTTGACGCGTTAAACACCATTGGGAAGCGAATTTCTTGCAACCTTTATCTTATTATCCGTTGTATATATAGTAATTCGCTCATCTGGCATCATCATCATCATCATCATCACTACCACCCAACCCCTTTATTTCCCTTGTTATCCGTCTGCTTTTTTTTGTTATCCCCAGTTTTATCATGTTCGAAGACTTAATTATCGTACTCTTCAGCTGCAAGTTCGGCTGGGTTGACGTCAACCATCAAATGTTTTTTTAATGACCCCTCCATCCTTAGTTAAACCCAAAAAAAATCACGTATAGACTACATTCATACGTACGTACGTACGTACGGATATACATTCATATGCATAAGTACACTACATTAATAATGCAACTCCATCTTCATAGATACTTCTAGCAAAAAAAAAAGGGGGGGGGGCAATAAATCAGCTATAGTGAGATCGATATCAATACAGTCTATTATACCTTACAAGATCTATATCAAACCCACCCTTTCATTATACGCCGCCAACCCAGCCCAGCCTCATCCCTCGTCACCACTGCAACAAAAACCGATCCCAAGGCATCCGACTCATTTATATCGGGGCGCGCCTGGGGCACGAATCACGCCACAGGACACGCCGTTCATGCAGCACTCAGTGTGCCAAGATACACTTCGAAACGGCGTACGCCGCAACTTTTTCTTCTTCTCTTTCTTTCTCTATTTGAGAGAGAGAGAGATCTCTCGAATGCACGGATATGCGGGTGTTCCCGGAAAAAAAACTTATGCTTACTGTGTGGTACCTTACATACGGGTCTCGCCCTTGCTATCCCCCCCCCCCGTCCGTCCGTCCGTCTCCCTATCTCCCTGCCCTCTCTCCTACAAATCCCCCCCTCCCGATCCTTCCCCGATGACCTTTCAAACCCGCGTTTCCAAGCCCGAAGCAACTGGGCCTCGTTCTCTGTTCCTGCGCACAAGGGTGGGAAGAAAGTGGGGTCTAAACGCGGACGGTGCAACGTAAAGGAACAATGGTCAAGCTTTTTATGTCTCGGGAGCCAAGAGGCTTGGGAGCGAGGATTTCATGGGAATATTTGCATTGATGAGTTGTTTTAGGGGTGGAGAAGAAGGGAGGAATGTTCGGTTCGATGTCATATCGATGCTTTTGACAAGGAATGAGGGGACTCGGGCTTGTTGTGGGTACATAGTATTACTTGTGTGTAGAAGAAGAGGGGGAAGGGGGTTTTTCGCGAGGATTACTGCATTTTGAGTTGCCTGGAACTAGAGTGGGGTTTTCCAGCCTGAGGCTTGCCAGTTGGTGATGTCTGTGAGGCCAGTGAGTTCTTTGACTCCGGGGTGGATTCCTTGGCCGATGGTTGCGTCGTGGGCTCCTATTACCCAGACGTTGTCTTTTCGCGCAAACTCCCTTGTGCGCAGCATCATATTTACTGCCTTCTCGGGGTCCACGTGCATACAGCCTTTTGAGTAAGGTGGGCGAGCAGCGCGGTTTGGATCTTGGAGGACGTTGGCGTGGTGGAAGCAGTCGCCGCCCAAGAGTACAAACGAGCTTTCCTCGCTACCAGAGCTAGAAGTTGTTCTCACTAGCATCATCTGGTGCCCTGGTGAATGGCCTGGCGCATCGACAATGTATGCTGCTCCATCGCCAAATACGTCGTATGCTCGCTCAAAAGCACCAATGCAGATCCACTCTGGTTTCTTCAAATCAACAGCAGCATATTTCCCTTCCTTCAACCCTTCCATAACCTGACCTGCTCTCTTGTCTCCAGTATCTCGGAGTAAGTCATCAGGTATATAGCACTCCACAACCTTTCTACTCCCATCCACAGGCAGCGAGTCACTTAGTGTCGGCGCCCTCTCCTCGACCGGATAACCTGGACGGGCATACGTACAACATGTAGGTCCAACCCACAACTCTGCACCTTCGAACCCGCCCTTTGCACCGTCACCCATATGATCGAAATGCATATGTGAGAAGATGACAGCTTTGACCTTCTCGGGTTGCTGCTCAGGTGAGCCATGTTCTCTGAGTATATGTTCAGGAGACTTGGGCTCGCATTTGAAGACGGGAAGTACGTTTTCCTTGATGAATGGGGGTAGGTTTTCGAGGTCTGGCCGTATGCCGAGGTCGAACATGTACTTTGTTCCCGATGCCATATGCTCAATTAGGAACACATAGTCCGGGGCGTAGTATGTTTTTCGCTCTTCTATTGATGCTTCGGATCTTGAGGGGTCACTGGGCTTGTCCGAGTCCGGAAGCAGGACTAGGTCGTAGGGGATGTAGATGCCGCCGGCTTGGATGAGGTGGACTTTGCATGTTGCGTCCGAATGGGGTATGGGATGCCATGTGATTTCTGGAGATTTCTCTGCCATCGTGATAGTTTGGAGGTGTAAAGAATCTGGAAGCTGACACTTGATATGTAGTGTGGTTGTAGTCTTTGATAAGACGAGTGCAGTAGACTAGATCAGTAAGCCCATGTACTACTGCCGGCAGGTTTATGACGTCACATGCATTTTACACTACAGCAAATTTGGTAAATACAGTGCAAGCTTACGTTAGAACTGCACCGTAATCTTTGGCCCCGCAGTTCGAATATGACCAACATAGTCCATGGATATGCAATGCACTTTCTGTTACCCATGCGCGTACGTGTTGCCGCTCGTGTACGTTCTCACCACACTTTTCGCATTCTAAGAGCAGCAACTTACCCACTCGGTCTGCCTAGTAGTCACTCAATGCAGGCTAGATGACTTTCCGTACGTCTCATTTTAATAGATTGGAAGAAGAGTGGGTGGATGAGAGGACTAGTCTGACGCACTAGCGACGCCCAGCCATGGGCATTTCCCTTCTCTTATCGCCCTCTCACTCATTGTGTCTCGATCTGCGGTAAGAAATCAGAGCAGCGAAAGCTCCGCGAGTATGATGACTTTTGAAACTAGCATGTAGATCATGGGCTTGGTGATGTTTATTCTATGCAGCTAGGATTACTGATTATACGTGTGTAGTTACCTAGTGATATGATATAGTCATATGTAAGCAACCCCGATAACCCACGAGTACACCTTAATCTGGGTATCCAGTTAAACTAAACTGTCCTTGATATGATTACCGCCCCACAGCTCTGTACGCTGATATTTGATACATCACTTCTTCTTCCCCTTGGAGGGCATAAAGCGCTCAAGATTCTCTTCCAGATAGCCGTTGTCGGCTAGCATCTCCAACCATTTCTTGATGACTGGACCAGAGTCGTAGCGTCGTTGCGTAGCCTTTGCGTGTTCTTCTGCCTCGTTCTGCATCTCCATCATGACTTGTGCACCGTCATCGTTGACTTGGATAACCAGCTGCTGACGTCGCGCAAGAACTTGCTGCGTGTCTTCATTGTCAATGGCTTCCTTGAGTGCCTCGGGCACAGGATTGGCAGCGAGATACGGCTCAAGACCAAGCATGGAAGGGCTGGGTGGCTGCTCGTCTGCACTAATGAGGTGTCTCCAGTCTTGAGATGCAGATTGGGAGAGGTAGTCGAGGCGTGCTTCGACATGTGCCAGAGTGTTGATCGTAAGACTGGCCCGCTTGCGTAAGGGAATTAGAGGGGACTGTGTCAGTGCTATAACACCGTAGTCGTCGTCACCTGCTGCCATGAGGCTGGCGATTGTGTTAGAAACCGACTCTAACCACGACTCGCCTTGTTCTGCCTTGAAGGAACCCACACACGTCGGGTACTTATCGAAGCCATCTAGCTTCCAGACCTCATTACCAGCAGGAACGAAAGCAATGTAGTGGTGTGCATTATTCTCGACCATCTCCTCACTATCGTCTGTAGCTACCGAGTCGGCAGAAGCTCGCCGTGACTTTGTCCCTCTCTTTCTTGGCTTACTCTTTTCAGCCAGTTGTGTTTTGAGACGCCTGGCACGCTTGACCTTGTGGCTGAGATACTTGTCGCCTTCTAGGATGTCCATCTTCTTGGCAAAAGAATTGTGAATTCTCTTGACGAAACCGAAACTTGCAAATGCCTCGCCGCGTTGATACGGCGTAAAATCTTTGGTGAAGTCCTTGAATTGCCGTAGATGCTCTCCAATAGAAACCTCTGTGGTCTGGTTCATGAGGATATTTATCATAGCCAGCGTTGCACAACTGTCCTGGGCTGGTAACTGGTTGGCAAACCACACGCTATCGGAGCACTCGTTTTGTTGATTCTCGTTACCAAACTGGCGGTAGTGGAAGAGCAAAATGAACCCATAGATTGGCTGGGGAATACTTTCGCGGATGAATTGCTGGTCCATGCTGAAGACTTCGCGAACGGTCACGCCTTCGACGCCCATTTCGCGGAGGATGACGGAGAAACATGCGGGCTCGCTTTCGATTTCACAGAAGCCTTGCCAGGTCTCCTTGTCAAAGGTAGTCGCGGGCATGTCTGGAGGGCTTGGAAAGACCGGCTTAATTGCAGGGCCATCATCTGGTGCTGAGGGTGATGGCGAGGCTTTGGATCTCTTGCTACCGGGCTCGGAATTTGGCGGCTCAGGCGGACTGCGCTTTCTAGCATTGAGTGAAGCTGCTTTGGAAGACTTCACCAGGGGTTCGGAGTCTGCGGAAATTTGAGGTGTTAACGCGCAACTCCCCTCTTGTATCGTTTTAGAATCAGTAACGTCCACAGCATTTCCTGAATCTTTGCCGGGTATCGCTTGCTCCTGAGCATGGTCTTGTGTTGTTGCCAAGACATCTTGGCTAGTTGTTGGCTGCTGACAATACAACTGCGCCATGGCGAGTGATCCGAATGAAAATGTTTGTGATTGAGAGGAAAATGTGTCGTATCTTGGGTCAAAGTAGGAGAGGCTCACGTGTACGCGTGAACATTGGGAGGGTGGAGAGAAGGAAAGTAGACGAGCATGGCGACGAGACCTGCGGCTTCCATAGGACCCTAGTCGACAGCTTGTGTCGTATTACGACAATAAGAGGCGATGAATGAATACACCGCTAGATAGTGAATGCGGAGTAGCGTAGCAAGAGCAGGTAGGCAATGGTGATACCAGGCAGATGGCACGTGACTGACAGCTCGGGGTTGTGCAGCTCTGATTGGCTGGCCAGGACAGCGCAGTCCGCATCATCCTTGTCGCGCCTGTCGCGTAGATGTCAAGTAAATGTTTTGTTTGCCAGTCTCACGTCGCCCAGGGAGAGGAACCGTCGACAAGCACCCCGACTGCGCAAAGAATACCGGCTGACTCCATCTCCGCCGTCGCATTTCCCGGCCCATGAACACGACATCGGCCAAGACTCTATTCCTGGTGCGATGAACGGCACACCAGCCCGGCGAGGCGTGGGTGGCTTCCCACAGACACCACACAACAACGCCAACGCCAACAGGTCTCCTGGCCTGCAAAGCCCAGAAGCATCCTCCCCACGGCCAAACATTCGATCACCGCTTCCCGATCTCCCAAAAGCCCCTCCACAGCCGACCTCAGGGCCCCTCATACCCTCGGACATTCTCGATCCCGCTCAGCAGCGCTTCTATGTATTCGCTGTCTATGTCGCCCTATGGGCATACCGATCATATGACTTCTATACGCTAGCGCTCGAGGACGACGAGTCGCTGTGGCTGTGTCTGAAATGGTGCTTCTTTGACGTGCTATTCATGTTCGGCGTACCGCTGCTCGAGATTCCCTGGCTGGAATGGGGCAATGGCGCTGCTTTTCTCCTATTCGTAATGCATGCTGGAATCGACGTCATGCTCATGTTCAGAATTGGCATACCCGTACAAGCTTGGTTCATGGGATTGATTGGTTTCCTATGGGATAGCGAACTGGCCATTAGCGAACGGAGCGTCAAGCCTGGTGCAATTATACACAATGCCTCCCTGATTCTCGGAAAGCAGATTGTCAACATCTTGCCCGAGGGATCTGCCATTCTAAACCCGGAAAGGCAGTCTTTCTGTCTCAGCTCAACCATCTCTCAACTCGACATTCCCATCAGGATCAACCAGACCGAGCCTCACGAGATGGAACTCTTGCGCATTGACATCGACACCAACATGAACGAGACTATCACAGTCAAAAAGAGCGAGCTGAAGGGAATGATGAAGAAGGCACGAAAGGCGGTCAAGAACGCCAACCCCGACGACCCGCTCACATTGACCTACACCATCAAGAAGCCAGGCGTATATCTTTTGAAGAAGGTTACAGATCAGTCGAAGCTCCAGGTGCGACCGCGCTCAACCAATGCTGTGGTGACTACCTGCCCGCAAGCTCGAGTCAAACCGACTGGTAACAACAGATGCCGAAGCGATCTATCCAATGTTTCGCTAGAAGTCGAGGGCACTCCGCCGCTTAGCGTCAAGTACCGCCTGACAGTAAACGGAAAAGCTCGAGGCGGATCCCAGTTTCAGAACTTGCAGCCAGAGGACGTTATTTCGCCTCTGTCTAGGCACACATCACAAGCATTGGTTAAGAACGGACGCGAAGATATTTCCTGGGCTCGCTCGCAAAAGGTTCTGGTACCCTTGAACGAAACCATTACGAACAGCGGTTCTTGGGAGTACGAGATTGAAGAGGTACAGGATGGATTGGGCAACTTTGTCAGCTACGTGAATGTTGATGATGAAGATCGACCGAAACCCAAGGTTGCAGGCATTCGTCAAATGTTCGAGGTTCACGAGCGACCTACGGCTTTCCTCAAGGGATGTAGCCCACAGAATCCTCTCCGCGTGCCCAAGGGCAACGCCGCCCGCCTACCGGTCCATTACGCTTCGACGGGCAAGAATCCTATTGACACTGCACACACGGTCGAGTATCTTTTCACGCCTCAAGAGAACATCATCGCAGATGGCTATCATAGCCCAGATGCTGTTCTGCAAAAGCAAGTCATGCGAAAGGGAGAGCAGCCCACCATCTCAGCAGCAGGTCTATATACAATCAAGTCTGTAGCATCCGAGTTCTGCGACGGCGAAGTCTTTGAGCCTACCTCTTGTCTGCTCCAAAACCCACCTGAACCAGATATGACATTGGACAGCGAAGACATTATCGACAAGTGCGCTGGCAACCCAATTGGTCTCCGTGTTGGTCTCGATTTCGTGGGAAGCCCGCCTTTTACACTCACCTACTACGAAAAGAAGGACAACGGAAGAGAGGTCAGAAAGACACCTTTGCAGATTGCCAGTCTTCGCAGCACAATCGATCTCACCCCACAAGATGCCGGTCACTACGAGTACATCTTCAAGACTATTAGTGACTCTGTCTACCCAGAGAGGCCGCTCAACAACATTAGACTTCAGCAAGATGTGAAACCATCTGCACAAGCACACTTTATTGAGAGCAGAAGGCCTAAGCAGGCTTGTATCGACGATATTGCGGAATTCGACGTTGGCTTCGTTGGAGAGGCACCCTGGAAACTGGAATACGAGATTGTTCACAACGGCAAACGTACAAGGCGCTCTATCGAAACCGAAAACGCACACTACACTATTCGAACCGACAAGCTTAGCAGTGGTGGAGAGTACGTTGTGGCATTGACCAGTGTTACCGATAAAGCCAAATGCAAAGAAGTCCTCAAGGAAGAAGCTAGGGTTAATGTACGACACGAACGACCCAAGGCTTACTTCGGTCACATTGAGGGCAAGCAGTCGGTACTGGCACTGGAAAGCCGACAGGTTGGATTGCCGCTTCGCTTTACTGGAAACGGTCCTTGGTCGCTCAAGTATGAGAACTTGAAGACCAAAGAAGTCAAACGAGAGTCTTTCCAGAATCCCAACTCGTGGCTTGATGTCAAGACCGACGGCACATATCAACTTGTCTCAGTCAGAGACTCTATCTGTCCAGGCCTGATTGATGAGTCGGCGGATCAATTCCATGTTTCTTGGGTGGCTCGACCCTCGCTCAGTGTTCCCGAAAAGAGCGCCGTTCTTGACGGAAGCAAGTACATCAAAGAGCCTGTTTGTGAAGGCGATGAGGATGCATTTGATGTCTCTCTGACTGGTGAGCACTCTGACCTACCATTGACTTTCATCATACTGACTGTATTACAGGTAACCCTCCATTTGACATTTCTTACCGACAGGAGTACAAGGACAAGAAGGGTAAAACAGCTTCTGTTAGTGAGAAGGATCTTCACACTGCAGGTGGCTTCGCTTCTATACGGTCGGAAACCTCAAAGGCTGGTACTTACGAGTACACTTTCTTGAAACTTGCCGACTCTCGGTATGACCATTCGAAGAAGCATTTCTCGCCCGTTACTATCCAGCAAACTGTCCACTCACGGCCCAGTGCTCGTTTCGATAAGCCTGGAAAGACGTACAGTTACTGCTCCCGGGAGTCAGAGGGAGAAGAGGTCATTCCCATTACTCTGGAGGGCGTCGCACCCTTCTACCTCGAGGTTGAGATCAAGCACCAGGGTACACCCAAACCGGAGATTAGCATCCACAAGAACATTCCTACGAACAAGTACGATCTCAAGATTGAGCACCGCAAGATGCATCTAGGCCACTCATCCATCTCCATCCGTAAGGTTCGCGACTCGCGCGGATGTACCCTCAAGCCCCCACCAGGCGGTCCCCGTGTCCAGATCAGCGTGCACGATGCCCCAACCGCCACACCTCTGGAAGACCGCCAGGACTTCTGCGTTGGCGAGCGCCTCTCGTTCGCCCTTGGCGGTCAATCTCCCTTTACCGTCTTCTACACATTCGAGAAGCAAGAGCGCAAGGCATCCAACCCAGGCACCACTTTCCGCCGTCTGGCCGAGCTCCCCGGAACCTTCACCATCACCGGTCTCCGCGACTCTGCATCAGAATGCCTCGCTAGTCTGGACCTCACAAAAACCATCCACCCCATCCCCTCTGTGCGCCTCTCCGGCGGCCAAGTCACCGAAGTCGACATCCACGAGGGCGGCGGCACCGATCTCGAATTCCAGTTCTGGGGCACCCCGCCCTTTGAATTCACATATACCCGTAGTACCAATGCCAACAAAGGGAGAAAGAGCAAGGTGCTGGAGATTCGCACAGAGGTTAGCCACGAAATGACGATGAGTATCCCTGTCCAAGAAGAGGGTACGTATGAGGTTGTTTCGATCAAGGATCGCTGGTGTAGTTTTGCTAGGCCGGGCGAGGGCGTGGACGGGAAGAGTGGGGGACAGAAGATGTTGACGTATTGAAGTGAAGTTGAAGTGAAGTGAAAGGCATGAATGGATTGGGTTGGGTTTTGGGGGGGACAGATGGGGAATGAACTTTTTTTTTCTTTGCATTTACGGGCGTTTGGAAAGTTTGATCTCTTTTTCTCGTGTAGAAGCGTCTTATGTTTTTTTTCATTTGTCTGATTGATTGATTGACTGAGTACTTGTGTGCCGAAAAGATATATATTGCTCAAGTGAAGAACTGTGTGTTTTGGCCTACTAGGCCAAATAAATAAATAAAGGGGGGGTTGCAAAGCTCGTTAATACCAAGAATCAGTTTTTTTTCCCTTTTACAACAAAAATTTCAAATCAATAGCACAGAATAAGATACGAAAACGTGTTTGTTTGTTTGTTTGCGTGTGTGTATGTGTGTGTAGTACGTGTGAATTGAGAATCTTCTTTGGATGTAAAAAAAAAGTTTCGGTGGTATCACTACAATTTCCTCCATTTCCCTTTTCCAATTCTTCCTCCCCCCCTCTCTACCCCTTGTATTCAAATCAGAACCCCCCCCCCCCCCACACACACACATATACACAAAATCTCATTTCAGTGATGGTAGCTGTACTACGAACTAACAACCTGACTCCGATTTGCAGTCTGATCCCTT